TATATATATATATATATATATGTTTAAGTAAATTATAATATTTTTTTTATAAAATACAGTGTCAAAAATAAATTAAAAGTAAGAACAACATTAAAACCAATACAAAATATTATTCATAATATAGTAAAAAAAACATTATAATTTTTTTTATATGTAATTACTTTAATTATATAAAATAATAAATATATTATTTAATTAAATTATATATCTAAATATAAACTAATTATCTTAATTTAAAACATCTTTAATTTATTTTTTAATTATCATAATTACTATTTTTATTTATTTATCGATATCAACCAGCAGACTAATTAGAATTAATAAAAAAATATATATTAAAAAATTAAAAACTGATTAAAAATTTGTAAAAATCAAACGACAATAAACTATATTTAGATAGAGTTAGAACACACTTGAGCCAAGTATCGTAATTCATAGATAGAACACGTGTGAACTAAACTAGGTTTTTCCAAAACCCACAAAACGACGTCGTTGATTTAAAAACAAAAAACAAAAAACTTTGAAGTGTCATCTTGTGCACTGTGCCTTTCGCGGCGAATTGGGGTGAAGTCGTGAACCCCTCCGCAGTCGTAAGGCCTCCGCACTCCGCCGCCGCTGTTCCGTCCGCACACTGCTGTTAGTTACAACTTACAGACGTCGTCTTTCTCTTTGCTGCTAGTCCGCGTTTGGTGTTTCACAATTGTGACTCTCAGGTTAGTAATTTCACATTTTCACTAATTTGATTAATCCTAATCTAAAATTCTAAATGCCCTAATTAATTGCTCTGATGTAATTGTTGGTTGTTAATTGCCCTGTTGTAAACTAGTAATTGTAGATGCTGAGTTGCTCTGTCAGTCTGTTGTAAACTTGTAGGTTGATCTAATTTCGACAATCTCAATATGAACCAATAAAAATTTTGAAGTTACTATTTGACGAGTCTCACCAAAGAAAGATTAGGCATATGATACACATAATATATGATTTATTATAGATAGAGCAATCAAATCATGTGATATGATATGAAATTGTGTTCCATGAGTGAATTTTTCTTAATCTCAAAATTTGCAAAATAAAAAGTTTTGAGATTTACAATTCTTCATAAGGCATAACCTGTTCCATATAGCAAGCTATTGTCTGGGTGCAAGTTTTCTCTGTATTTGAAGACTAATTGGTCTTCCTTTCCAATTTAGTAAATTTGATTTTAAAATACTAGTTTTCTATAAGACAAAAAAGTGATCTCTACTCTAGTCTGAGTTGCCAAAAGAAGTGGAAATTCTTTTAAATTATGAAGTGTTTTAATTTAGTGTAGTCATTTTGGCAGAGCCACCTATGTTTAAGATAACCAAACAGACTTTTTGCAGTTGCAAGCCCATTTGTGAATCTCTCATTGCTAGTAGATTGAAGAAACCTGAAACAGTAGATCTCCCTTGTTGCCTTCTGATCCTTACCAGAGTTCAGGCTAGAATCAGAGCTGACTATGTTGACAAGAGGGTACCTTACTGTACTTTATTGCTGTGATTATTGCTTGTAATTTCTTTACCATTGCTTTTTACATTGGTATCCTTTTCGCATAGAATGAATGATGTAATTGGCTCATTACCATGGTATTTCCTATTGCGAATCTGACCCTGTAGATGTAATCTGGAATATGGGAGATGCATATTGAAAGGAAAATGATCCCCATTAGTACAAAAGAATAGCTACTTTCTTGAAACCTATCTTTCCAAGATTCTGCAAGACCTATCTTAAATGATTGCGGTTGAGCTACTTTGATAGTATGAAAGTTCTGTTCTTTTACTTATTTTTTATCTGCCTACTTTAGCAACATGTAGCGAAAAGTAATTTTGATTATCTTTGACTTAACTAGCTCTTATATCAAATGCAAAAATTCCTATGACTGCTGCAATTTGGAAGAGGAGCATTGCCTTGTCCTAAAAAATGGGGGAGAAGATGCAATTGCACAAATTTACACCTTTTTTGGAGCAGAAAATGACATATTCATATGTTCTATTAATATTGGTCACAATTCAGATAAAATATTTCTCATGATATTTTGCTGTCCTTTTTTGGTGTGCTTACTTTATGTATGATTATTCTGTTCCAGTTTATTCAGTTACAGCCACAGATCTTTTGTGTGATTCAACAACACGCACTTCAAGCCTTTCAATTTTTTTTAGCTAAAAAGTGCATATAGAAGGCATGTAAATGCAAATTGGATTTTCAATAATAGATTTTGTACTCAAAACAAGTTTTAAAAAGTTGCTTGTAGAAATTGGATTTTTGCAAAAATGATTTTAAAAACCAGTTTTTAAAATTGGTTTTGGCCTAAACAAGTATTAAAAACTGGTTTGACCAAATCAAACTGATTTTTCTGTTTTTAGAAGGAAAAATGGTTTGGTTTATATATTCTATTTACATAACTGGTTTACATTTAGATTTGATTTGATTTTATGCTAAACTGATCCATGCACACCCTAAGAGAGGGTGAAACATGTCCCATTTCCATGCCTAATTCATTTGTTCAATTGCTGTATTTCCTTGGTTGTGTTTTTCTTTTAAATATATTGATCAATATGACAAAATTAATATTTAATAATTGTTAGTTCATTATTTATTTTGTGACAACTCATAAGTTTTATTTTTCACATTTGCAGCTGAGGTGACAAAAGCTATGGCCTCAAAGCTTCTTTTGCAGAGAAGGCTCTTCAGGTTTTTGCAACTGTCACCACCCTTTTCTTCCATTCATGCAGCCCCGTTCTATTCAGTGAAAGCTTCACAATTCTTGTCTCTCTACAAGGAGAATGCCGTCCTTCCTCCTCTCTCATCTTCTTCTAGAAATATCTGCTCTCGCAGTTCTAATCTTGATGACTCTCAAGGTCCCTTGACTATTGATTACAGGTATGACATGTGCCTTCTTGTTTTCATCAATTATGTTTTATTTGATTCTTGGAAACTGTTAAAGTTGAACTTGACTGTTTTAGCTGTTTTTTAAATGGTTTTCTCTTTTGAGCTTTCAAATTTTAATTATGGTTTGCTTTTCAAAACTATTAATTTTAAAATCCAAAGCATTTCTTGAGCTGGGTTGGGGCTTGACAGTGGGATTTGTGTTCTTGAAGAATATTTCTCAGAATTCAAGTGTCAGTCACATATGCTAATTCCTCTGGTTGTAAGATTCCAATATTGGTTGGAATTGTTATGTTTCATTTTTTTAAGCAGGTGGAAGTGATTTTGCTAACGATTAATGTGAATGCAGTTCTCTACTACAGGAGGGTGAATTCCACAGACTGGCTGATTCCACAATACATAGCCTACAAGAGAAATTAGAGGTATCTCTAGTATTGCTTTGTGTTTTGCACGAACTTATATTTGTAATTTTGCAATCACAAGTCTTGACATCCCCCACAAATTTTGCTCTTAATTTAGCACTAAACAGCCACCTGCAATGTTTGACAAGTATACAAGCTTGGTAAAATATGCTTAAAATCAAATGGATTTCATTGGAAGAGTCTTAGACGTGCTGGAAAGTTGACAGTCACAAGGCATTCAGTTCATGTTATTTGAAATTTAAGCTATGTTGGGTATTTATTTTGTTTTGTTTGTTGCATGGCAGGACTATGGAGACTCAGTTGAAGTTGATGGATTTGACATAGACTATGGGGTGAGAGAACAAGTTATAAAGGATTGTTAACAACAATTACTTGTCAACAAAAAAATATCCTACAACTTTTTTGTATTTTAGAATATGAGCATGAAAACATCATATGTTTTGTATTGCTTATTTTGAATAATCACATTTTTATCTTGATAGCTATCATTTGTTTAAATGAAACTCACCAATTATTGCTTCTTTTAAGATTTTAATTAATTTCTTCCTATTAATATTAAGAAGTGGCTTCCAAGCACGGGGTGTATTGCTTGTTTTGACATGACTTTCCGTTTCAGAATGATGTATTGACTGTAAAACTTGGCGATCTTGGCACCTATGTTTTGAACAAACAAACACCAAATAGACAACTCTGGCTGTCTTCTCCAGTAAGGTATTAGATCTTGTCCGTGGGTTATGTGCCTATATATGGTTAATTTTTAAGCTAGAATCTTTTGGTTTTAGTTATAATCTCCGACATCCAGGTCCATATAATCGATCACTTGTGAATAAGTTTTACCACAGCCAAATACATATACTTCTTTTGTATCTTTATGCATGAGAATGAACAGGAGAAAAGTGAATATTTAGTGGTAAGCATCCAAATGGTGTCGAAAACAGTATCGTTTGATAAAATATGTATCTTTAAGTGAGGTGTTAACAATGGTGCATTTAAAGCCTTGTGCATATAGACTTATTGGTTGAACTTAATTTTATTCTGCTTGCTATAAGTTTAATTTCTTTGTTTAAATTGTTTTACTGGTATTGTGGGGGATATATGCTGTGTTGTATGTCGGTTCATTTATTGATCGTAGCTGTGTTAATTTAGAGGCCTTTATTCCAAGGCTTTAACTGAAGTTTTGGTTATAGTGGATTGCAATTTGATCCTCTTCACATATATATCTTGCCATTTCTTCCATTTGTCTAATTAACCTACATAACTTAGATGGCATTCAATATCAGAACATAGGCTGACATGGGTATAATGAATGATCACTTGGACTTGTCCTAATGACTCCATCTCTTATGCAGTGGTCCATCAAGGTTTGATTGGGATCGGGATACTAAAGCTTGGATTTATAGGCGGAACAAAGCAAACTTATATAAAATTTTGGAAGGTGAATTGGAGCAGTTATGTGGCAAACCTATTGTACTTTCCTAAGCTGTGGAGAAGGTGCTCCCTAATCGTGATTTTTTATTTTAGAAGGTAAATTAATGATGATGAGCCATTGGCGTTAGCATGCACGTGAAGTTTTTTATTTATTATTTTTTCCCCCACACTTGGCACCTTCACTGTATCAGTTATACTATTTCTATCATAAAGTGCGTGACTGGTTTAAAATAACTTGCGTGATATGAGATAAATGTTCACTTGGTTGGTTTCACATTGGAGAATTGATTTTGGCTCCCGAGTATGGATTGGTAGACAAAATTTTGTGACTCAAAATGGAAATGGAAATATAGACTAAACTAGTTTGGATTTTGATATTTATTTGTTGTGTATTCTATTCTATTGTATTTACTGCTGATGAAAATAATGTTCTCGTTGGACATGTGTTGCTCTTTACTTAATTTGGTTTTCCACATACTACTTTTTAGTATTTTTTATTTACCCAATTTAATCGTTGTTACGCATTGCTCAATTAGTTAACGTTTGTGTAAGTTGGGTAACAAAGAACTTAAACTACGGTGAGGTGTAGTCCTTCTGAAATCAAATATAGGCAAAAATATGTTTTGGTCTCAAATAAATGTAAATTTCAACTAATTTCATCTTTATCTCAAAAAAATACTTTTCATTTAATTGATGTTTTATTTTTAATGATCTTTTTTATTTTTAATATCAAGTTTTGATTAAAGGTAATATAAAAAATATAATAAAATAAGATCGATAAATTTAAATGCTAACTTTCTTAACTAATTTTTTTTAATATTTGAGATTGGAGTATTATTTAAACTCATTGATTCTTTTCACTTTATTTTGGTCTCACCAATTATCGGTAGTACTAGTGATCCATTCTTAATATAAGAAAATAAATAAAATTTACATAAGAACTTTTTCAAACAAAGAAAAAATATAAAAAATAAATATAGTGAAAAAGGGTAATTAGTTTATGTAAGTGGATAAAAAATAAAGAATAACAATATAAAGCAAAATAAGAATTGCAGATTTATTGTATTTAAAAACAAGGTAAACAATATTTTAGTCTGAGTTATACTAAACATCTAATGGCTCATAATAGAATTATTATGTGTATGGGTGTCTGTGTTTAAAATTTGTATACTTGATTTATGTAAAAATAATAATTTAATGGTCAAATAATTAAAATTTGATATAGAATATAAGTTATTGAGTAAAGTAAGTCAATCAAGACTTACTCTTGGAGTAAATGAATCTTTTCCCTCTCTATATATACACACATGCTATAATTTAAGTATTGTAAATATCAATAAGTGATAGATAGTTCTTATTAGCGATGAACATGAATTGGGTTGGGTCGAACTTATCCTTATTCAAATCCAATCAAAAATTTTGTTGGAACCATTTCCTAAATTCTAAACCTGACCCAATCAAGATAAAAAAATATATGAATAAGATCGAGTTGATTCAATTTTGTTATACTGTATTGATTTTAACATTATGTATAATTAATTTATAAAATAAAACAAGTAAAAACTTAAATTAAGGTATAATTTATAATATATATTTTTTTAAATAATTGTATTACACATATAATATCATGTTATAAAATGTATTACTAAATTTTTATATTAATACACAATAATTAAAAAAAATTATACTTTATAAATGAATATTATATATCAAATTAGGTTAGATAATTCAAAATGTAATACAAACTTATTCTAAAAATGCATCGATCTAATTCCAAAGTTTATACCTATCTAAATCAACCTTGAGTTAAGTTGAATTAACATGTTGGATTAGATCATACTCACCTCTTATTCCAACTAAAAGTATGTAAAGTTTTGGAAACAAATTATTCATCTCAAAAGTCAAAACCTTAAAAAAAAATGTAAAAAAAAAAATAGTTTTCCAAAAAATTTGAAGTTTATATATTTTTAGTACTTTAAATTTAAAATTTGAGTTTTTAGCCTCTAAAAATACTATAAGATTATTATTTTAATATCTTAAATTTAAAATTTATTTTTTAAAATTTTAAATTTATTTTAATCATTAATATTATAATTAATAATAACAAATCGAGAGGATTAAAATAATATTTTTAATATTTTAAAGATTAAAAACACATTTTAAATTTAAAAGAGAAAAATAGTATATATCTTAAATTTAAGAGATAAAAAAAACACATACATACAATGTTTTTTTAAATTGATTTGGATTCGATCAAAAAATGCATCTAAGGCATGAAACAACTTAAAGTGAAAAGGAACATTGAAGTTCATTTCATGTTCCCTATTACATTTACATGTCTAATGTCAAGAATGAATTGGAGAAAGAATAATCATAATTCCGTAAATTAAAATTTTAAAACATGATTTTGAGATTTTCTTCCCGTATATTAGTATATTATAATGAAATTACATTTGCAGCACTCCGCTGAGGTCGAAAATGGGTGGCGTTGCCCCAAGGTTCCTCTTCCTCCTCGGCGCTCCCATCCCTCTTCTCCGCCGCCACCACCACCACCGCCGCAACCTCTTCCTCTTCCCTTCCCACTCCCATTCCCTGCGCCTCCCTTCCTTCTCCTTCTCATCCTCTCCCTCTCTCCCACTCAAACTCAAAGCCTCTCACTCCTCCGCCTGGCCCGAGTGGTCCTCATTCCTCTCCCACATCTCCTCCGCCGGCTACCTCCCCTCCCTCCCCGACCACGCCTTCGTCGAAGCCGCCGCCAACCTCCCCCACTCCTTCCTCCACGACGCCGCCGCCTGCTTGGCCTTCGCCCGCGACCGACCTAACCTTCTCAGGTTTCTCTCTTCTCGATTTCAATTCGGCTTCGTTCGATTCCTTTCTGAATTTGAATTGAATTGGATTGGATTGGATTGGATTGAATTGGCTTCTTATAGGTTGCTTTCTGTGAGAGACATTGCGGCTGTCGTTGAGCATGGCTCCCCCTTTCTCTTCCGCGACGCTGAGGATTCCGTCAGGAAGATGAGGTCCTTTCTCTCCGACGCTCATGCCAATGTTAGTTTTCTCTAAACACCTTCCTAATTGTGTTTCCTCTTGCTCTTGTCAATTATTTTTTGGTTTCAAACCTTCATGTCGTTTATTTTCACTTCCTTGTTTTGTATGAAAATTGTAATCCCCACCAGAGTGGGCTTTTAGCATCTTTCAGCAGTTGTTCTTTTCTGCTTTTGTTGCTCGCTTCTTCTGTATATACTAGGAAGGATAAGACTTGGATGCATTACCTATATTGTTGCCTTGCTTAGTTGTTCTCCCATCAGAATTGAAGTTTTACTTCGGTAATATGTATTTATATTTAATGTAATATTTAATTATGCATATTATCTAGGTGAAACTCCAATTCTGATCGGAGAGTAGCACCAACAATATTTATAACACTGTACCTAACTTTTGTCCTACTAGAAAATCTTGTGTGTGTGTGTGTGTGAGAGAGAGAGAGAGAGAGAGATGTCAAGATAAGACTTCATGGGAGAGAAGGAACAAAATTCTTGAGAAAGTATGCGGAATTTTTTTTTAATTTATTTTATTTTGTAGTTACTTTATTGTAACCCTAGAATTTTAATAGTTTGTTTGGCAACTATTTGATTTGAAGTGGATAAAGATGTTTTTTGAACTTTCGGAGCAAAAAATAAAGATGGAAATCCGCCTCCCTGTTATCTAGAAAATTAATGGTATACATCATAGTTAAACTTGTTTTTCCCACTCTCATTGTTATTTTTGTTAACTATTACATTTGCCACTTTGTATGTTTTAATTGTTATATGCAATATGTCTGGATTCATGAAGAGGTGTCGTGCAATGATTGATATGAAGCACCTAGTTTTTTATGTTGGGCTCTGTTGGCTTTTCTTTCCCTATTAACATTGTGTAATCTGT